AACTATAAAAGGGCCATCCAAAACTAGCTAAAATTTCATCCCAACTCCATAAACTCGAGCTAAAAACAAACATGTCAAAAATTTCATACATAATTTTGTTTTTCTCAATTGGCTCCATTTTTTGGGCCAAGCCAGGTCTCGGCGACCAATCATGGTTGCAGGACGTCACGCACAAACAGATTCCGGTCAACGGAATCAACATGCACGTGGCGGAGATGGGCGGCAACGGCTCGGCCGGGACCATTCTCTTCCTCCACGGTTTTCCCGAGCTTTGGTATTCGTGGCGCCACCAAATGACCGGCCTCTCGGCCAAGGGTTACCGAACCATAGCCCCCGACCTCCGAGGCTACGGGGACACGGTCGGGGCCCCGACCACATCCAACAACTACACGGTGCTCCACGTGTTGGGGGACATTGTGAGCCTGCTCGATGCACTTGGGTTGGATACGGTGCACCTTGTGGGCCACGATTGGGGCGCTAACCTCGCCTGGCTGCTATGTATGATGAGGCCGGATAAGATCAAAGCCTTGGTCAACCTCAGCATCTTTTTCAGCCCCAGAAATCCGGTGGCCCCACCTACGGTGACCTACGCAAAAGCGCTTACTGACGGTTTCTACATCTGCAGATTCCAGGTTCTTCGAAAACGAGCCCCTCGTGAGCTCAATATTTTCTAATTTTTGCCAAGTTTTTTACTTTAACAAGTTTAATAAAATATGTTTCATGTTTCCTATATGTTATAACCAGAATCAAGGAGAAGCAGAAGCAGCATTTAAATCCGTAGGCACGGCGACTGTAATAAGAACATTTATGACCAAATTCCAACCAGAACCATTGGTTATACCCACCAACGAGAGTATAGCCGTGTTTTTCCAGGGTCCTCAAACGCAATTGCCTTCGTGGCTCACTCAGGCGGATATAGATTATTTCACTTCTAAATTCGAGAAAACTGGCTTCACTGGAGGATTGAACTACTATCGAGCACTAGACTTGTGAGTTCTACAGCATGTTTCGTACGCAAAGTTAATCGATTAATGAACGAACAACTGGATTGCCAAGAAGGAATTGTTAACTTTGCATTACTTACTTACCTTCTTGTATTCATGCAGGAGTTGGGAGCTTACAGCAGCTTGGACCGGAGCACGAATTGAAGTGCCCGTCAAGTTCTTAATTGGCGAAGATGACATGACGTACCATTTTCCGCGCGTGAAAGAGACCATAGAGGATAAAAGCTACAAGAAGCTTATTCCAAAGCTAGAAGAAGTTGTGGTTATGAAGGGAGTCGGACATTTTGCTAACCAAGTGAAGGCCGATGAAGTCAACGAGCACATTTTTAGCTTCATCTCCAAATACTAGTTATAATTACTTCTATGTGTTGTTGAACTACCAAGAACTTTCATTATTAAAATATATTCACTTCCATGTATTGTTGAACTACCAAAAACTTTCATTATGTTTGATCAAAAAGAAACGATGATTTCGAAATAAATTAATTATATTGAGCTTTATATGATAGTATCGAGTTGTGTATCTGTGTACGCGCATACATCATATATACAACTCGACACGGAGCATCTTATTCTCAAAGCAAATCCAGATTGAGAATAGAAGGCCTCCTACAGTGACGAATTACGTACATTGTACTAATTCATAACAAAAAAAAGAAACCGCGAAAAGATCTAATGTTATATCAAAGTTTACATGCGGCAAAACAGAGGTCCTTCACGTCGTAAAGACAATCAACAAAGTTCAAAACATAGTAGAGATATGTCCAGAGTTTCATGCATCTAAATTTGTTCATAGCTAACATCCCAAATGAAGACAGTGGAACCGGGCATTATAAAATGAAAAGGAAGATAGGAAAAACTGATTCGAAATAAAGAAAAAAGTTCTATTCGTTTATACCAAAAATTCTATGGAGACATCGGATGGTTTTCTTATGGAGCTCATCGATCACTTAATGTATTGCTCCATAGCAAAACCGTCAGTTTATAGTTTGCATGGAGGAGAGTAAACCAATTTCTAAATGAAACCAAACAGTTTGTGACTAAAAACATTTATCACTACAAAATATTTATCAAATAACAAAATATTTATCACCCAAAAGACAACATTAAACACTAAGACAAAAAAACAAGACGTGAATAAAAAATCACTACAAAAGTTCAGTAGCAGAACTCAGATAATCTTCACTCTTTTTACTTAGAGGACCTAACCATATCACATCCAGAAAACTCAAAAAAAAAAA